CCCCCTCTTCCTCCAGAGGAGCGGCTAGTGGTTTCAAACCGCCAACCTTGTGGATCCCAGCCCAGTGCATAACAACTTTGCCACCAGGGCTCCCAGATGCTTGGTAGGGACCCTCTCAAACAAAAGGGGACTGAGAAGTAAAAATACTGAGGCAGGTCGTGTTAGAACATGGGGTCCTGGTGGTGTGCTGGTTAAGCGCTCCGCTGCTCACCCACAGCTGGTGACTCCACAGGAGAAGGAGCTGGCGTTCTGCTCTTGTAGAGGTTGTTGCTGCGGTGGTTGGGTGCCATCAAGTCAGTTCTCACTCACAATGACGCCATGTGACAAAGTGCAGGGCCCCCTGGGCTTTCCCGGCTGTCATCTCTATGGGAGCAGGCACCCAGCTCCAGGCTGGTCTCCTTTCCACTGTTCTCCACCGGACTTGGTTTGGCCACCTTCTCCCAACTGTTCGGGGTGATTGCCTCAGGTGCCATTGCGCTGGGATTAATGATACGAGAGAGCTCTACTCTAACACAGAAAGGTAGACAGACCCTCTTGAAAATGATGAATGCTTCCCAGGGGGAAACACTCTCAAAGGAAGGTTCACTTTGTTTGACTTGGACGTAGGACCTAAACGGTGTGAAGACTACTGGTGGATCCTGCGATAGTGAGACTGTTAAAAAGAAAATCCTGATAATACTGGAGTTTCACTGGAGAACACGTAAATGTCTATCTTCGACACCAGAAACAGTGCAGTTAGCAGTGTGGTGGATGGCCACCCAAACAAAAGTTACTAAAAGCTTGGCCCAAGTCTGACGATGCCACAGAAATTGTCAGTAGCGAGAAGACAGTGGAGGATGCTGCTTGTTTTACTCCTTGCAAGCATTCAGATGGCCTGCGCTTTGTAGGAAAATGGCACTGTAGCAACGGCAAATTAGCTCTGATTGGTTGAAAAGTGAAGCGTGGACAGGGTGACTCTGAACTGAACTACTGCACTGCTAACTGCCAGGTTGGAGGTTTTCGCCTCCCATTGCTCCACGTGAGAAAGATGAGGCTGTCCTTGCAAGCCTTGCAAAGCATCAGAAACCCCATCAAGAGTGGCTGTCACCTGGAATCCGTTCCGTGCCACTGCGGTTTCATGTAGGAAACAAGCAAACATGTCCTCTGATGAAAAGCAGGTGTTGTGATTTAAAAAGGAAGTATCCAAGGCTTACAATTCAGACCCCAAAATGGCTCAGGTGGGAGCCAAAGCTGCCCTGGCTGTAACGCTTATGTCACGCTGATGAGGCGCTAGGCTGCTAACGGGATGCTGAGTGGTTCAGACTCAGCCAGTGGCTCCTCACAGGAAAGCCCGCAGGTCGGCTTCCATAAAGATCACAGCGGGAGCTCTGTGGTGTCTCCTGAGTGAGAAGTTCATGAGACGGCCACTGACAAGAGCTGTCTTTAGGATTCTTGAAATGTGCCCCCTTGACCCCTCCCCCCCAAAGGATCTCTTCTAAACAAGCTGAAACACTAATTTTATTCCACGAATGTCTTGTGCAGGTTGTCTCTTAAAGGTATGTATGCAGCTTTCATGACCACTCCACATTGAACTGACGGTTGGAACCAGCCGACCAGGGACTCCCAGTGTAGCACAGAGAAGCAGACCTAGTTCAGGACCCACAGGGCAGCTCCTCCCCGCCTTTCCATTCTTCTCCCTCCGGTTTCCTCCCTCCTGTGGGCCGCAGCTCTCTCTGCTCTCTCTCTCCCTCCAAAGACGTTTTGTGGTTCCCAGAACACCACTGGAGCTTTCCCCACCTGCTTGCAGGGATCTCCCTGCGCCAGCCCGGGAAGGCAAGGGGAAAGCCTGGACCTCACAGGCTCGCAGTCTTCGCCTTGGGAAGCCTCCAGGGCAGAGGGAGATGAACCCTGTTCTCACCCTGGTCCCTGGAGCTCAGGCCTCACTCCAGGTCCTGGGGACATGGTCTGTACCCTCCTGACTCCGACTCCCGACGTGAGTCACCCACAGTCCTCTGCCATCTCAGCACAGAGGGTGGAGCAGCGGTTCTCCACCTGTGGGTCTCGACCCCTTTGGGTGTCAAACGACCTTTCACAGGGGTCACCGATTCCTAACAGTAGCAAAATGACAGTTATGCAATAGCAACAACAATAAATGTATGGTTGGGGGGGTCACCACAACATGAGGAACTATATTAAAGGGTCACGGCAGGAGGAAGGTTGAGAACCACTGGTGTAGAAGATTCTGTGATTGGCTCTGAAAGGTGCTATAAGCTGTGCCATCCCTCAGCCCCGGCCAGAAAAGGCTAGCGTGGTCACTTTCTCAAGATTTAAGGAAAAAGATAGTCCAAAGCCCTCAGAACACGATGTGGCCATTCTCCTTTCACCAGGTCTGTGAAGTGTAACCTTAAGAATCCTCTCTTGCCAGGACATCACTTCGGAAATTACAGCAAAGTACATCCGTGAGAACATCTGGTCTGCCCCGGAAGACTTGATCCTTCGGTTTAAACACACCAATGTCGGACCCCGCCTCAGTGAAGAGTTTGAAATGAGGAAACTGTTCTTGTACGATCAAGAAGCGTCTGTGATCAAAATACAGGTATGTGAGTCATCTACCACCAGCGACGACGGCAGACGCTCCTGTCCGCTGGCTGTGTTCTGGTTGAGGACATGACCCACTTCCCAGAAAGGTTCTGTTTGTGGGAGGACAGTAACCACTACGGTCACATCTGCACCTGCCAGAACCTGTGTGAGGCAGACATCTGTCAGAGAAGGAAACTGCAAACCTTTTCCATGTAGAGGCCGCGCCCTGGCAACGGAGGAAACTCTGTGAGACCCAGAAAGACAAGGCAGTCCCTTGTCAAGTTCCTGCTCTCACAGAGTCCCTTGCATTGGCCTGCGGACAGACAGCGCCCGCCGGCTGCAGGTTTTAACCCAGTCAGTGCCCCGCAGTCTGCTTCCTGCATGTTGTGAGGAAGGATCTTGGCGATGGATGACTTTTACCCTGGGGCCACCCGATGTGCTGTAGACCCACTCGCTTCCCACGCAGGTGAAGCCAGAGAGACACCTCCGATCACGGTCCTGAAAGCTGGGGCTCCAGGAATCCCCTCCTTTCTGAGTCAGGCGCTTTCCAGGTGTTTTTAGCTGGGTTAGTGGTACGGAGTACCGTCTGAATTGCTGTGCTCTCCAGCCTGAAAGAAGAGCGCAGCTACTGAACGAGAAACAGACTTGGTGTCTCTGAGGAGTCTTTCTCCTTGACGTAATCTCTCTGTTGAGGCTGCAAGAAAGCCCCACGCTGAGTGTTGAGTTACTTTGTCGATGGGTTCCTCTGAAGGTGCTGTTCGCTTACCTGTGCTGTTGGTTTGGGTTCGTTTTATTCGAGTTGTTGTCTGGTGTGTGTGACTTGTCTGAGCTTTCTGGTTGGCCACAGAGCCCTCTTGCCGGGCGGAGCGGTTTCTCCTCTGTCCTCCTCGTAGCACCCTGGACTTCACGGCAAACTGGGCTCAGAGGATCGTGGGTTCATCTCTGTGTGAGTCCAGACAGGACTATGACTGAGTGGCTGCATTTGGTGGGCTTTTGCTCTGGCCAATAATTATGATTTTTAAAAATCTTTTTCTTGGGGGCTCATACAGCTCTTATCACAATCCATCCATCCATCCATTGGGTCAAGCACATTTGTACATTTGTTGCCATCATCTTTTTCAAAATATTTTCTTTCTACTTGAGCCCTTGGTATCCGCTCCTCATTTTTCCCCTCCCTCCCTCACAAACCCTTGATAAAGTGTTATTATATTTTTGTGTCTTACACTGACCGATGTCTCCCTTCACCCACTTTTCTGTTGTCTGTCCCCCAGGGAGGGGGTTATATGTAGATCATTTCCCCAACACAGAAGTGAGTTATAAGAGCATTTCTCTTCTTCTGTTCTCGTCTCCTGTGGTGAATATGCCGACGCTCAAATGTTCGGACTTGCCCAGAGCTCACGATGTTAACAGCACAGAAATTATTAACTTTTTTTAAGGGCGTTTTCCCTTAACTCTGTCACTCAACGCACTTTCTAGGCGCGCCCACGTTTTCCCGTTTATTCCTCCGTTAGAAGTAAAAAGAAGGTAGGCGCCTTTTAGGATGGTGAACAGAAGCCTCCCGGTACAGAAAGGGCCATGTCCGCTCCCGTTGCAAGGCTCTGGCTCGCACATTTACAATGACAGCCGCTGTGACGAGGCAGCGCCACGCCCTCCAGCCTCAGAATTCGAGGACCATTGCAGTGGAAGATCCGAAGAGCCTGTTCGTGCCGTACGCCACTGCTACAGGCCCGGAGCGGAGTTATGACGAGGCTCGGGGAAGAGCAGGAGCCATCCCATGTGCCTCTGTCCTCCTCCTCCGCAGAGGCAGGAGGACTGATGGCAGTCGTTGACCGCGACGCCATCCCCGCGGTGCCTCTGATGCGATCATTTTGAAGTTTGCTCACAAGGAAGCCATGAAATGTGAAGGACGAGTCTGCATCTCCGTGATAGGCCAGAGTGGCAAATACTGTCAGAAGGAACCCGCTGAGCCCACAAAACCAGAAGACCTTGACCCAAAGGGGACCTACCAATCTCAACTCTCACCTTCGAGGCTGCCGTCCATAGAAGAACAAACATTTCTTACCTGGCTCAGCTGGCCCTGGACACATCAGTCTTAAATTCAGAGCGAGAGACAGTCAACGCTTCTAGCCTCGGCCAAATTATACCTCTCCTTTACCACCACCACCACCCTCAACCCAGTCTCCGTGGAAATACTGACGACTGATCGTGGTGCAGAGAGTGTGTGCGTGCAACGTTCAACCCGTCCTGCGCTCATAAAATAACTCCGCAGTTGTCCAAGTAATCCTGGCGTGAAGTCAGCATCTATTAACCACATTATTTTGGAGCGATCAGAAAACCCTGCTATCCTTATAAAATTGCCTCAGTTTTAGAATGCTTGAGCAAAGAGTAACTCTCCTGGAAACATTTACATATATTTTAATAAGTTGTAAAATGTAAATGAGGTAAACATTCAAAGATACGCTTCTTCCAAGAGGTGGAAGAAAAGTGCAAGTGCTTCTTGAAGACAGTGAGCCCTGGATTTCACGACAGGCAGGTCAGACAGCAGAACGAAGTGAAAACCGTAAACGGAAAGGGGCGTCTCGGGAAGAGAAGAGGAATGGCGACCTTGTAGACTGTAATCAGAGTCGACGCTAAGACCGTTTACATGGGCTTGAGGCCAACCAGACAATTCTCCCCTGTAGAAATCCTACTGCCCAT